CCCCGCCCACTAGAAGCCAACACGGCTCATCTGGGGACCGAGGCCGCAGAGGCTGCCCCAGCCTGGCCTCCACCCAGGAAGAGCCTGGATCTCTGACGAAAGAGCAGCCGACTGGGGTGCTGGTGCCAGAGTAAGGTAGGTGCCAGGTGGCATGGAGAAGGCAGAGTGGGCAGGGACAGGCAGCAGGGAGATTACCTGTGGGTGTTGCTGCTGGCCTGGCAGCCGGAGGGAAAGCAAAGAGAAAGGGCAGAGAGGAGGTTAGAAGGCCCCAGAATCACAGCGGGAAGGGTCCAGGCCTTTGGCTGCCAAGGACCGAGCAGGACATTGAGCACTAACTCGGAACCTACCCCTCACTTCTGTTTCTCTCCCAGCTTCAAGTGGGCCCGGACCCTGGCCTCTCAGCAACAGCTGACAGTCCCTAAGGGTGGACAGGCTGGATGCCGATGTTCCCCCCACTTGACAACGAGAAGGCAGAGGCCTAGGAGGCTCCCCCAAACCAGTAAGAGGCAAAGCCGGGGTTTGAACCTAGCAGGGAGCTCTCTCAAGGAGACCTGGTCACACCCTGGACTGCTGGCCACAAGGCCACCAGTTTGAAATCACCAGCCACTCGGGGGCAAAGCCGAGGCTTCTACTCCCGTAAAGAGTTACAGTCCCGGACCCCCCCCCAGGGGCAGTTCCACCCCGTCCTACATGGTCACCGTGAACCGGCATCGGTTCAGTGGCAAGGGGTTGCCAGGTGACAGCGAGCAGAAGCCATCCCCGGGGCCTAGAGGAGGTGAGCAACGTCACAGTTCCTGAAACGTGGCAGCCACTCAAAGGGCAGCTGTGCTGCCCCCGGGCTGGGCAGCAGGAGGGATGCCCCACCCCCACACACTCCAGAGCCCCTGTTCTAACCAGTCAAGTCCTCAGCGTCAGAGGTCAAAGCACGCGGCCTGCGAGGGGTGGCCACGGCCAGCGAGCTGACCCAGGGCAGGAACCAGGCTTGCTGACGTGGGCGCCCGGGCAGGGCTGGGCTGGCTACCTGGAGGCGATCTTGATAAAGTACTGGTAGGCGTTCTCGGCCGTGGGCTGCAGGTGCTGCAGCATTGCCTGGAACTCGGCGTCGTAGCGCTGGTTGATGTCGTCCCCGATGATGGCAAGTTGCCGCCCCACCTGCCCCATGACACTGTTGGCGTGGGGACAGGAGGGTGAGCCGAGGATGGGCCACGGCACATGGGGGCCTGGGCTCACACCAAGGGGTCCTTCCTGAGCCCTCCCCGGATCCCATGCATACACACACCCCCTCCCGCGAGGTGCCCGACCGAGGTCTCAGTGGATGAAGGCTGGCCTCGGGAGGAGTGGGCAGGGGTGGGCTGAAATGAAAGGGTCCAAATGGGCGTGGGGACCCCAAAGGAAAAAGAGGTCACAGTGGAGGGAGGACGAGAGTCCCTCCCGAGGCCGCCGCAGGTCCCAGGTCTTACACAGCCACCAGCTGTGGGCCCCTGTGCCCTGCTGTCCCGGGAGCCCTGGCCACTGCTTACCTGCTAGGCTCCAGGGGCAAGGAGACCATCTCTGGGTCGGCCGGTGCGCCCGCCCCTTCGGCCTCTTGCTCCTGCTGGTGGCGGTAAAACACGTAACTTTGGAAAACTTCCTCCGTCTCCTGGGCGACTTGCTCTTCTGAGGATCAAAGCTGGCAGTCAGAGAGGGCTCCGCCGTCGAATGAACCCAGCAACCCTCTGGTCAATCCTGACCCAGAGACCCCATAGGACCGAGACAGAACTGCCCCAAGGGGTTGCCGCGGCCGTGAACCCCTCTGGGTGTAGGCGACGTCATCTTCCTCCCTCGGAACAGCTGGTGGGTTTGAACTGCCAACCTGGCAGTTAGCAGCTCAATGCTCAGCCCTACGCACCACTGATGTTTCTTATTCGGTGGGTGGACATTAATCAATGCCCCGGTGCTGAGTCTGTGTCAGGTACAGCCCAGCTGTTTGGCACTTAATTCTCACAACAGCCCTGCGGGATCGATGGTCCCCATTTCACAAGGAGAAGCAGAGGGGCAAGGTCCGCCAAGGGTCCCAGGTCCTTGGGACCCCCGTGTTTCCATGTGCCTAAGGGACCCATAATGGGAGCCCTGGGTTATGCACCAAAGTCAGCAGTTCAAAACCCCCAGCCGCCCCACAGGAGAAAGATGAGGCTTTCGGCTCCGGTAGAGTTACAGTCTCGGAAACCCAGCGGAGCCGTTCTACCCTGTCCTGCATGGTTGCTATGAGTTGGAACTAACCCCATGGTGGTGAGTTTGGGTTTGGGGGGCAAGGTGGTACCCACAGTAACGTAGGCACCCTAGAGGCTTAGTGATCATGCATTGGGCTGCTAATCACAGGGCTCCACAGTTCGGACCCATAAGGCACTCCTCAGGAGGAAAATAAAAGGCTTTCTACTCCCATAAAGAGTTACTACTGCCTCAGAAACCCACAGGGGCAGTTCTACCCTGTCCCATGGGTCGCGATGAGTCGGCATCCTCTGGATGGCGATGAGGTTGTCAGGCAGTGTTTGAGACGCAGTGATGCCCGAAGGTGGGTGGGAAGGACAGTGGAAACTGACCCTGGGCCCGGCACAGCCACAGAACCAACTGGAACTGGGACCTGCTCTCTGAGCCCACGGAGCAGCCTGGGCTGGTGTGCTGGCCCCAAGCGCTAGGCTTCCCAGGCCACCCCCTTGGACGTTTTCCCCTTCCCCAAAGTCCCAACATTGGTTTCCTTATTGTTCCCACCCCTCATTCTTCCCTGTCCTACCCCAGCCTGACCCCACCCCTCTGCCCTGGGATGGCACTTGCCACCCTCTTCCTGGCCTTAACCTTGACCGCAGCTCCAGCCCCCACCCAACAGGCCATCCACGTTGGGCGGATGCTTCCCCACCTGGGGAAACGGAGGCAGGGAGCCTGCGCACCAGTGCTGGCACTGCCTACCCTTAGTCTCCCCACCCACCTAGCTCCTGGTTCCCGGATGCGGGAGGGATGGAGGGGGCGGGCAGTTACCAGAAGTGGAGGCTGAGGTCCGGTCTTCGCAGCCCTGCTTGGGAGGACCGGGGCCTTGCCCGGACGCCATTTCCCCACTGGAGTACAGTCAGCCTGGGGTCAGGGAGGAGCGGAGAAAGGGGGGAATGAAGATGGAGACCAGCAGGACTCCCAGGCCACACAGTAGCGAGGGCTCCCCCACTTCAGGCATGCCCTCCGAGTCTCCTGAGCAGAATTGGAACCTCCAGGGCATTTTACCGGCAACTCTGCAGGGAGGTGGAACCCTGGAAGTGAGGCAGCTCAGGCCACACGGGAGGAGGCAGTGTAAAGCCACACCCAGGTGCCCTCAACTGGCCCCCAGGGGCCCTGGGGGTGGCGGGGCGTGGCTGTCACAGGCCCTAGAGGAGCTCACGGCCCACCTCGCCCTGAGCGTGATTTGCTTCAGAGCGTTCCTCCAATCACTCCCGGAGCCTCCTGCACCCCACCTGGCACACACACCTGCCCCAGCCTGCAACCTCTAGCCAATGACCCATGAAGTTCTTCTCCAAGGCCCCACTTCCCCTTGGCCTCAGGGCACACCTGCTTTCCAGCCCCGGCCCGGGGCCACAGAGGTTTCCGGAGTGCCGGTGTGGGGCACCCTGCTACTGCTGGGTGCTGTGCTCTGAAAACGCACGCTGCCTGGGCGAGGAGGGCGGGTGTCCGTCCGCGCCCCGTTTCACAGCAGGGGAAAACGAGGCTCGAGGCCACAGGGCCAGGCACCCCAGGGTCATGTTCCAGTTTGTGGCCCTCTGGCCCGTCCCCACTGACTTCGCCCTGGCGTGGACGGAGGAAGCCTCACACAGGGCCTGACTCTAGCCCGGATTGTCCTCTCGACCCAGGGCTGCCCCAGTGTGGCCCCAACAACCTGCTCTGGGCAGGCGCACTTCCTGACCGGCACTTTCACTTTCAATTTCCACGGCTTCCGGAGCCCATTCCCCCCAAGATGCCTCCAGCACCCTAGGGACCCTTCTGCTAGCCCGTCGGGGCACCCCAGCCGAGCACAGCATCACCCTTCCCAGCTGGCCCCGCTTCCTCCCTCTGTAGCCTGGGGCCGTCTTTGATGGCTCCGGGGGTCCTCCACGGAGGGGTGGGCGGCGAGGGGTGGGAAGGGTGAACCTCCCGTGCACCAGGCTCTCCAGCCTCCCCTGAGGCCGGACACGCCCCTTCCTCTGCCTCGGGCACTCCTTAAAGCAGGCTGCCTGGCACGCCACATCTCAGCAGCCCCTCCCCAGATAAGATGCCTCCCCTTCCTCCCCACCCCATGCCTGAGACCCAACACCCGTGGACAGCAGTCCCAGAAGATGCTGACCACCACCCCCACCACCACCCGCACCCTTCACCACCACCCCAGGGGGCCCTGCTGGAGCAGGTAGGGCCAGCAGTCTGTGCCAGTGCAGGCCGGCCCCTGCCTCCCATTCCAAGTGGCCCAACTTCCTGGTAAGGGGCGTCCACTCCCCCCCCACTGCCTCCTTGCTTGCTGGCCCTGTGGCACGGTCCCCAATGGAGGATGCCAGCCACGACAGAACGGCTAGGGTCCGGGGCAGCAGGAAGCAGGGGGAAGTTCCCTCCAGCTGTTGACCTTGGCCCTGACCTCCACCCCCATCTCTAAGGGACCCAGGTCGCGGGCACCTCACTGGTCCTCCAGCACCCAGGGCCCGGCAAGACAGGAAGCCATTGAAGGAGGGAGCCTCGGGGAGCCCTGGCTCGGCCAGACCCCTAGGGGGATCCGAGGAGCAGCCCAGGCAAGCCCTGGGGGCCGCTCCTTCCCTGGGGGAACTCCCCAGGGCTCCCGGCCCCACCCTGGGGTGAGAAGAGTATGGGATGGGCGAGCAGCACCCTCCCAGCGTACCTGTCCCGGCCTGGGCGCAGGGCTGGCTCAGCAGGAGTTGGCGGCTGCTCCCTGGGGCAGGGTGCCTGCCTGCCTGGCTCAGCCTCCAGGGGCCAGGGACCAGGTCAATGCATTCCCGCCGGGTCTGGTGCCGCCGGGGCTCCTCCGGCGCGGCCCAAAGGACCGGCGCCGAGCTGCAGACCATAGAGGTGTGGGCCGCGCCGGCTCCAATCAGCTCCCTCTAGAGGAAGGTCCTATGTGGCTACCGGATGCGACGCCGCCTCGGCCGGCTCCCAGTCCCGGGCAGCCCTCGCCCCGCCCCACCCAGCACCCAACTAGGGAGCCCAGAGGCGCCTCTTTCCTCCAGTGACTTTCTTTACTTCTCACCCCAGACTCTGCCTTTGACTCTTCTCTATCCCCCCCCCTGCCCACCCCAGTCCCCGTGGAGGACCAGGCCAGGATGGCAGTGCTGCTGAAGCACCCACCCAAGGGAGGGCCACGTCCTTTAGCCACTCGATTGTCTCAGCACACTGCAGCAGCCCATTGCGAAGATGGACGCACGGAGGCCCGGCGCATGGGCCGGACTGAGAATCGGGTCTGTAGGTGCCATGGGGAATAGCGGTGATAAACGGGGTTCGTCCTGTGTGCCAGCAGCGAGTGGTCGCAGGAGATGCCAACCCCCAGAGGTGACAGGCAGGTCAGCACTCAGAACTCAGTCCCCTCAAGCCACGGATGCCCGCTCGTCAGAGACCCTGGAGGCTCCCCAGTGGCATAGTGGCCAGCCGCTCCTGGGGGAAAGACAGGGCTCTCCGCTCTCTTACAGAGTGCCAGTCCGCCCTGCGCCGTGGGTCTCTGCGTTGGCAGTGAGTCTGGGTGGGTTTCTGGGACAGACGAGAAAGGCCCGTGGGATTTTCAGGAGTTGGAAGCCTCATCTTTCTCCCTTGGAGAGGCTGCTGGTTTTGAACGGCTGACCTTGCAGGTAGCAGCCCGTGGGCGGCCCCTCCACCACTGTGGGGGGCGGGGGGATGAAAACACAGTGAGGCCAGTCCTGTGGGCTGGGCGCTAAGCGGGCAGTGAAGAGGGAGGGCAGGTAGTGTTTGGACTCCAGCCCTGGATCTGGGGGGACC